CCTCCCTCCCTCCCTCCCTCCCTCCCTCCCTCCCTTCCTCCTTCCTTTCTTCCATTTTTTCTTCATTTGCCAAGTTAATAACTTTCCCAGTCAAGCGAGGCAAAAAATGTCTTTGCAGACAGCTTTGCATTGGATACCTAGCAGCAGTGGAAGGAGGGGCACCCTTCATCTTGGATGAGCTTTGCATACCTGAGCTCTCACATTCCAGAATGTGGTCTGTTCCTTCATACTTACAGTCTGGCCTGTGATCGGTTTCATTCTGTTGTTTGCCTCATGGTTTCAGGGGGGAGGCATTGTTCTCAAAATTGAAACAATTAACTCAGAATAACTGTTACGATTTTCAAAGGCAGTTCCTCCAAATTTGATGTTACTGCTGAGTTTTTGCTAGGAAGCGGAGTTTGATATGGACACCTATCCAAATGGGGAATTAAAAATGATTGCAACAGCTTCATTATATGTTTGGACAGGGTGTCACAAGACAGTTCTTGCATCATGACTTGAGAGTTGGAATATAATTATTCTTGGAGATTTTTGTTTACTTCAAAGCACAAGGTCCTTTACTTGTAGAAAAGTGAAAGTCACTAACTTTAATCTTAAAGAGGGGTGATGAGAAATCAGCCTGAGAAATGGAAGTAGGGGGTCTTTGAAAAGAGGGTACCACCTTATTGCAGGTCCCCCCCCTTCGCATGAATTCCTCTGGGTGCTTACTATTTTGCAGCCAAAGAAAAGTGCTGAGTCACAGCTGACAGTTAAAGTAGATGTGATTCTTCTTATTCTCTCAGTCTTAGTTGAATACCAGTAGGATTTGCTAGAATTCCAGCCATGAAAGATAATTTCAGGAAAGATAATTTTTCCTCCCTTTGGGGGGAGTTCTCTCAGTCAGTCTCTCTCTCTTTCTCTCTCTCTCTATGTATTTCTTTCACCAGTTTTAGTTCTGTAACTCACCTAACCACAACTATCCATGAACTCACATAGAAACCCTGTACCCACGAAGCAATAACTCTGTATTCACTCTTTCCCCGTCCCCTGATAACCTCTGTTTTACTTCCTTTCTCCAAGAATCTCCTTTCTAGGTACCTCACAAAAGCAGAACATAGAGTGTGTGTTGTGTCCTTTTTACAGCTAGTTTTTTTAATGTCATGCAGTATTTTTTGGATTCAGCTGTGAGCCTATCGTGGTGGCACACACCTTTAATCCCGGCACTTGGGAGGCAGAGGCAGATGAATCTCTGTGAGTTCAAAGTCAGCCTGGTCTACATAGTAATCTACACAACAGCCAGGGTCTCTCTTCATAGCCCTCAAAACAAAAATTATTCAGCTGTGTTATATAGTATGTATCAGAATATTAATGTATATTTTAAGATTTCTAAAAAAGATTTAAATATTCTCATCATAAAAAAAGTAGTGGCTAAGATAATGGATATGTTAAGTAGGTTGATTTAAATAATTATGGTTTGGTGTTTTTTTTTTTTTTTTTTTTTTTTTTTTTTTGGTTTGTTTGTTTGGTTGGGTTTTATTCGAGACAGGGTTTCTCTGTGTAGCTGTAGCTGTCCTGGACAACCTTTGTAGACAAGACTGCCTTCAAACTCACAGAGATCCACCTGCCTCTGCTTTCCCGAGTACTGGGATTACAGGTGTGTGCCACAGCGACTGGATAGTTTAAGTAGTTTTTATACAGTATGCACCTAGTAAAATAATCACATACACCATAAATGTGCAAGATTTTTTTGCCAATTTTAAAAAGGCCCAAATGAAGCTAAAAGGTAGATGTAACCTAAATATTGATCCACATATGAATAGACAAAACATGTAAACAAAATGTGTGTGCATGGAATGGGCTATTATTTATTAGAGAGGAAACTGGCAGATCACTCCTAAGATGAAAATTAACTGGTTTATGGTAAGAAGGTAGTGAGCCTGAATTAGGTGGCAAATCAAACAGGCTGTTCATTGCTCTTTCTGCTGTTGGGATCCTTACCAAGAATATGAGGAGCAGACTTAATAGGATCTGTAGTTGTTTAAATGCAGGTGAGCTTATGGACCTAACTGAGGAAAGGGTTTGCTTTAGAAGGCTCCTGCAAGTTGTTTTGAAAGTTAAGAATTGCAGAGTGCGTGCTGCCAGCTCTTCAGAGTGTACTTACAGTGTGCTTACGTATACTTAGACATTGGGTGGCTTTCCCTCGCATTTTAGTTTCCTTCCAGATAGGCATAATCCACTCTGTCTCCCTGTTTCTCTCTCCGTCATTCTTTTTCTTTCCCCTTCCTTTTGTGGTACTAGGGGGTTGAGCTCAGGGTTCTAGGAATAGTAGCAGGTAATTTTAACTACTGAGCTGCATTCTTAGCTTTCTTGGATATATATGTAGTGTGTTTATTAGCAGTGGAGGGCAGAGACCAACCCAGGGTGACTTCCTCTGTTGCTCCACCTGAAAGGGTTTTTTTTTTTTTTTTTTTTTTTTCCCCCTTTGTACTGAAACTTGAGCTTATTTTTTGTTGTTTGTTTGCTTGTTTTTTGGCTAGACTAGCTGGCAGCATCGGGATCCTCCTGTCCCCACCCCCAACACTAGGCTGACAGAAGTAGCCAACCATGCCTGGCTTTGTATGTGGGTGCTAGGAGTAGGAACTCAGATCTCTTGCTTGCACAACAAGCACATTACTGGAACAGCTCTCAGCCAAGGCCTACCTCTTTCATCACCTCTTTTTTAAAATTAGGACCAGATTGAGGAAGGGTTATACACTTAAAAGAAAAAACAAACACAAAAAATAGTTGTTTACCTCTAGTCTGTGATGGCTACTGTAATTGTAAGTTTGACAGACTCTGCTATCACCTGTAAGATGGGTCTCAGAGCACGTCTGAGGAGACTACCTTGACTGAACTTATTTGCTAGGAAATACTGCCCACAATAGGTGGCCCCATTCCCTGGATGGGATCTTAAGCTGTCTAAGTGGACAGTCTGCTTACTGCTGGTGGATGCAGTATGACCACCCAGCTCATGCTTCTGCTTCCTTTACTTTCCTGCCCAGATGGACTGAACTCTGTGAGCCACAGTAGTAAATTCTTAAGTTGCTTTTTTCAGCCTTTTTTCCCACAGCAACAGGAAAATATATTGTAAAGGATTTTTCACAAATAAATTATGAACAAAAGTAAAGGTGTAAACAGAAATGGCCACCAAGATAGTATCACCTCAAACATAATACTTTTAAGATAAACAACTGGTGAAGTGGGTGACATTGTTTACAATTATATCATTTATAGAGGCTTAAGGGCACACTATGACCATATGATATCTTTTTGTACTTCCAAAGCATTTCATATTTTAGTTCAGTTCTTACATCCCAACTCATTCTTAGCAAATAAAATTTTTATGTTCATTCAATCAGTTTTATACCATTAAATTTTTAAAATTATTTTTTAAAGATTTATTTATTTTATGTGTATTGATGTTTTGTGTG